CGTTGCTCTCCCTCCATAGTTACGACGGCTCAACAATATCTACAAGTAGACACTATTTTACCTCCAGATCCCGGATACCAATACCCTGTTCGTTTGGCACTATTGTGCGATCAGTTTGAATTTGTTCGTCGTACAATATTGAACACGCTCCAACAGACTTCACCGGGTTTGGAGCATGTGTTTCGAAGGTTGTGTTTCGAGAGCAGTTCAGATTTGCCAGTAGAGGTAACTACCAACATCATGTTGTGTCTGTTCAAGAATTCGGTTTCTGTTAGAATTGGAAAAGCTGAGACGATATTATGAACGGTTTCTACTTGTTCCGGGCAAATGCGACATGTATCATCTTGGGAAATTTTGACAACTGCTTTATCATAATGTACCGTCTCTTAGTAGTGAATTAAAACACACACACAGGTAATATTTTAACAAAGACGTTTACTTTGTTTCTTAATGATACATTTGAAAATACTTGATTTATTCACAGATAGGTTGCACAGTCCTTGTTTTTCACTGGGTTATTTCCTTTCACACACGACTCACTTCTCTTGATTATTTATTTACACTGTTCACTTCTGATTATTTACTAACTCTGTTTACAATTTCGCACAGTGTGGTGCACCTTCCACTGTCCGATGCACTGTCCACAATTCACTGCGCTGGCTACAATTCACGGAGCTTATCAGGGTCCATTGCACTACTGAAGTGTGCCGCGATGCACACTTCACAGCTCAGCTTCCGACTTCAGGCTGCTGTTCACCTCCTGCACCACTGTTCGCCGCAATGCGCACTTAACAGCTCAGCTTCTATTTCAGACTGAATTAAGACTGTATACTCACTGACTACATACACTGACTGACTGCTTACTCACTGACTACATATTCACACTGACTGACTGTTCACTGCCAGCGGCGAATTTATACCTGGCCGGCGCCCGCTTCGAGCCATCCGGAACTTGCGTCATACTTCTACGCGACTCGGGACTTACGCGGAATCGTCCAGTTCGGGGGCGCCGGCAGATGACGCAATCCGCGCAGAAAATCCCGGCAGATGTTGCAATATTCGTTACAATAATGTCAACGCCATTCTTCAGAAAGTATTACAACTGTTTTCGGTTCTGGCATCATTCTTCCCCTTTTAAGCCGTACAAATGATTGATCTTCATTGATCAGCACCTTGTCCAATCTCTTTCGATATTGTCCATGGTTTGGTTTGTTTCTCCAAGTTTTCTTTTGCTGTGTGCCTCGCAGTTTATGTTAAGTAGCATCAGAAGGTCAGCATCTGCGTGATTTACATAGTCTTCTTCGCAACGCTCCTTACAAGACTTACAATGCCTCTGTTTCCCATTCTTCGGCCAGATTTAATATCCAGTCCATGGATTGGTTTGTTTCTCCAAGTTTTCTTTTGCTGTTCTATGTTAAGTAGCATCAGAAGTTGAGCATCTGCATGACTTACATAGTCGTCTTCGCAACGTTCCTTACAAGACTTACAATGTCTCTGTTTCCCATTCATCGGCCAGATTTAATATCCAGACTCATTAGTGGGTCATTTTGGTGGCTGACTTCATACATTCCCATCAGCTCGAAGGTGGGAGATATGTTGCATTGTAAGCGGTTTTCTGGTTTTTGATCCATATTATTACAATTGTATTATTATTATTGTTGTTATTATTGTTATTATTGTTATTATTATTATTATTATTATTATTATTATTGTTGTTGTTGTTGTTGCTGCTGCTGCTGCTGCATAACACGGGCGTGCGCCCTCTGCATTTGGCAGGCCGGACTTCCGCGTGTACTGGAACGTGCCGACGTTCGGCTGCCACCGCTACGGCATGGCGTTCAACGTGTCGTCGGCGTGGGGCGTGGTGCAGAACGCCGAGGACGCGTTCCGCGGCGAGCGGCTCACCATCCTGTACGACCCCGGCCTCTTCCCGGCGCTGGTGCAGGAGGGCGGGAAGACGGTGGCGCGCAACGGCGGCGCGCCGCAGGAGGGCGACCTCAACCGCCACCTGGCGGCGCTGGCGCGCGACGTCGACCGCCTCGTGCCCGACGTCAACTTCTCAGGTCAGTCGCTCGTGCTCCTTTCCTAGCCACTCCACAGACGACTTACGAAGAAACGAAGCGAGTTACATGCATTTATACGTGGTATTTTCGCCTGATTTTTATGCAATTCCGAATGCACATATGTGTGGCAAGTCACGTTCTGATACCGTTAAGAAGCTTTCATGTACCTGCAGAACATTTGTGTATAAGAATTACCTAAAAATCTGGGGCAAATGCCACATATAACTCCGTTATTTTCAAATTCCCTTTATATGCAGTCTGGCAAAAAGTGATAATTTTTCAATCACTGCAGGCTCTAGAATTTCATAACATTTTTTCTGAGACATTGCCCAGAGAAAGTATTGTAATGCTGAAGCAAAAAACGCCAATTTTTTGACAGATGAAATTCGTTTTATTGGTTCCTGATACCGGAAAAATGGATAGTTTAGAAAATAGAGTCGGGAAACGGTTAATTGATTGTTAGTGATTTCGGGCGCGTCAACGGCTAAGGTCGTTAGTCCCGTAAGTGTAGTGCATGGCTCAATAACACGAAAACACTAATAAACTCATTTTCAAAAATTTACAACGGCAGATACTTTTTCGTTGTATGTGCTGCAGATATGTAATATTTGTATTATAGTACTGCAAATGGTATTCAATTAACTCTTCAGACCATGTGAAAGATTCTCTTTAGCAAAAAAAGTGTGGGGAATTCAAAATTGCAATTTTCGATTGATTGATTGATTGATTGATTAGTATAGATAGATTCCATTCGATAAATCAACAGCTAATATCATTAGTCCCAAAAGTATAGTGCGTGTTTTCCCCTCGGAAGGTGGCGGGGATTCCCCGCTACATGGCGTGATCCGGCGCCGACCTACCGTCGACTAGCAGTGTTTTCCGCAGTCAGGTATCTCCCACCAGCGGGGCACCGCCTCAGCCGGGACTAACTAAGCTCCCGAACAGTCTTCCGGCATATGCGATAGATACGCATGTTGTGTAAGTGTACGGAAGTAAGGTGTAAGGATAGAACAAGAAAAAGGAAGGAAAGATCGCGCACGGTCCATAGCCCATCTGTTAGGGTACTGCTCCGGCATCCGCCTTGTGTAGATCGGAGAAATCACGGAAAAATACCATCGGAGACGTCGGTCACTAGAATTCTCCTTTATCAAACAAAATGACACAAAATGAACGTCATGCAAGCATGATGACAATGCAAGAGATACTGATGAGCCCATTTATAAATGAGCTAACTGTTAACAAAGGCTAACAAAATGAATACATGGGCATAACCTGCAGTTATGTTTCCAACAGTGGCCAAGCAGTAGCTGCCAAATCCGTCTCTTCTTATAGAAATCTCTCTTATTCCCTTAAGGCCGCTCCACACATTCGGTATTCAGCTGTTAGCGAGGGACAGCGCGCCGAATTCTTAGCTAGTCGTTCGAGTTCAGCCACACTCTGGAGGAGAGTTCTAGCGGCCGGCTTCTATGATCGGTAGTTTCCCGTGGTTTCTCCGATCACTGCCAGGTGAATTCTGAGAATCAGTACCAGACGAATGCCGAATAACAAACTGATCACGGACTGCGCGCGTTCTTTCCATCCTCTTCCTTGTTCTATCCTCGCCCTTTCCTTACATACACTTATACTACATGCGCTACACGTGTCGGGAGCTTTGAGCTTGTTCCGCCCGGGGCGGTGTCCAGCTGGTGGGAGATACCAGGTAGGAGAAAACACCACTAGCCGAAGTGTATCTCATCACCCGGCGGGGAAAGCGCACCGTCACCTCCCGCGTTAAAATATCAACTACACTTATGGGACTACTGGCCTTAGCAGTTGACGCGCCCTAAAACACTAAACAATCAATCAGTGAGAATAGAATTCTCCTCCACACAGCGACTGAAATCGACCAAGCTATCTATGTAGCTTGTGTCGAAAACCGTGCCTCCTTCGGAAATCGCATCCTAGGTCCTCCTGGTCAGAGGCACTGCAGTGACATCAGTTGGTGTCCTGAGTCACAAAGCCGGTGACATTCACGAAATAATAATACATATAAGACGATGAACCTGTTCCTTTACCGTTGTACTGTAGTTCAAGAAGCAACGGGTGAAAAAATATATTTACGTGGCATTACCTCGATGGATTTATTTGTCACGTGTAGTAATGTAACATAGGGTGTGGCTTCGCACGCAGGGATCGGCGTGGTGGACATGGAGTCGTGGCGGCCCGTGTGGAGGCAGCTGTTCGGAAGCTTCAAGCCCTACAAGGAATTCTCCCGCCAAATCGAGAGGAGGCGCCACCCCACGTACAGCGAGGCGCAGATCGAGGCTGAGGTGAGTGCAGCGCCTCCCCCACGACCATGCATAGAGTTTACACTAAATGTCTCGTTACTTGCAGCAGCAAGAATGCTGCTGAACAAAAACACAAAAAAAATGGTTTTCCAAAAAGTCGCACGCACTCGAAAACAACAAATAAAATACTCTCGTGTATCCATTGCAACAAATTAAATGTTTTAACAAAATCACTACTCACGAATACTGCAGTAACGTAGTACAGTGTATTCGTATAGACTGTACAACAGTTATTTCCATAACAAGAATATAAAACATGCTGTTGTTGTATAACATAACACGTGATTATCAAATATTTAATAGCAGGTAGGATCTTCCTTGGAATCTTGCCGTCGCATGACGTCATATGTGTGTTATAGGCACTGACGCACTGAAAATGAGCATTCAAATTAAACTATACGTAAGTAACTATACGTACACGTGTTATCACGCGAATTGTAACATTAAAATAGTACAATCTTCCACACTGAAAAGCAAGTGCGAATTTTATGAAAGAAACCATTAGTTAAGAAATGTATTCATAGTATCTTCAGGCACGTTACCCTTATCAGACATGTGATTATACAAAACTTGAAACAACCCACACAAATTGAAAAATGTTTGTTTGAAAATGACCATTTATATTTGTTACCATTATACACATACACGCACACGCACGCACACACTGTTTCGAAGTACGTCACGTGAGCGCGTGCGCGTGCAGGCGCGGAGTCGCTTCGAAGCCGCGGCGAAGACCTTCATGGAGACGTCGCTGGAGCTGGTGAGCCAGATGCGGCCGCGCGCCATCTGGGGCTACTACGCCTTCCCGTACTGCTTCAACGCCCCGCTGCAGGGCTGCCCGGCGCAGGTGGAGCAGGAGAACAACAAGTAAGCCCACGCACCCACGCAACCCATGCGCGAACGCGCCCGTG